CCTCCTGCCCCGGTGACGCTTCCTGAGGTGGGTGAGGAGACAGCCAGGGATAATAATGATAATAATATTAATGATAATAAATAAATACAACAGAGCTGGTGCTGAGGGTACACAGAGTGTTGTCGCTGCCCTAGGGAAAAAGGAGCGGGGTGCCGGGGATAGCTGTGGAATAAAAAAACAAAATTAATGGCCCTGAGCGTCACAGAGCTGCGACTAGGCGCGCACGGGGTGGTTTCTGCATTGGCATAGGCTCGGCTTGTGGCCCTCGTTTAAGGGCTCCTGCCTCTGAGCAATTAAAACTGAACGGAACAGGGTGCCACGGAGCGCAGTGTGCTGCAGGCTGTGTTTAGTCATCTTTGCGGCTCTCCGTTAGCGCTGGCTGTAGTGTCCAGGGTGCTCCTCACAAAACAGACACCCAGGCTCAGCTTCCACACCTGGAATTAAGGGCGCAGCCATTCTCATCATTAACACAGCAGTTACTGGTACCGCTGGGGCGAGCAGAGGTCTCGAAGGGCTTGCGGGTGGACGATGTCATTAGGCCTTGTTATTTATGGCCACGTTTAGCCATATTAAGTGCAGGGTGGTATATGATGCTTGTTGGTGGGGAATTCCCTTTCCGAATTCCTGAGGATTGGAGTTTGGTACATGGGTGAGGGATATCACATTATTTCTCAAACCCGCCACAGCAAACCAGCACGTGTATCCGTTCCTCTCTGCAATTCTCTTAACATTGCGCAGTTACTTAGTTCACTGAAAAATACCCAAATTGGTTCCTCATCAAATTTATACCTCACGAGGCTCTTTCCCAAGATAATAAAGATCGTTTTTTTATGGCCAGTATGCAAAAATAAAACTTTTGCTTACTTTTTGCATGTAAGTGTTCCCATTTGCCTTAGTTAGCCCTACTAACATAAACCTCTTAATTTGCTTTTGCCATAGACCGAAGGTTTCCCTGAAGCTTAATCCTCAAGATGAAGTTCTTGCCAGTGGCCATCTTTTTTGGCTTGTTCTGCTTATGGGTTGAAGAAGTCTGTTCCAAAGAGAAATCTTCAAAGAAAGGAAAGGGAAAAAAGAAGCAGTACCTATGCCCATCGTATGTGCTTTTGTTTCTTTTATGTTTCTGTATGATGGTGATGTTGCCATATTCTAGCCAAGGGGGTTACGTGACAGTTGAAGTGGAATGTGAAGCTTTCCACCAAAGGAACCATTTTTGGGTTCCAGAAGTGGGGAAGGGAGGTGGAGTGGTGACATGCCTGCAAATTCTGTCATTGAGTATGTTTATTCTGCAGCAAGTTCTTTATGGAGCAATCCTTCTGTAAATATGCAACTTACAGTTCTGTAAAAATAGAGAAACTCCAGCCTCTGATTGCCCAACTAAATAGGGAACATATTCCGGACACCTATAATTACTTTATATTAAGAAGGCTTCCTTTCAGTAATGTCGGCTATATTTTATGTTGTAATCTGTAGCATGATGCAAAAGTTTTATTTGTGGGGACTTTTGTTGTCATTTTTATGTCCAGCCTTGGTCATTCTTTTGGTGTTATTGTGTAAATACTCCAGAAAAAAAAAAAAAGATGGCATATAATAAGTTAACCATAAGCATAGAAAAACACTATGCCTTAAACGATAAAATGGTTTAGACACATTTAAAATATTTCTAACCACAAAAGAAAAATACTATAAGATGAGACCAGCTAGTTGGCATTATTAGACTTTCCTAGGAATGGGAAAATTTTACCGGTAAAATACAAAAGAAGTCTTTTAAAATAATACATTATATCTTCTTTATTTTAGAAAGGAGGTAGCATTTTACATTCCATTTTATATTTACATATGAAACTATATGTTTGTAAGTTAAAATTTTAATCTACCTTTACTTTACACTAGTTATTAGTGCAATAAAATCCAAAGCTTTTTGTCAGAAGGTATTGCCTTTTGTTTCCTTATAAAATGTGTAAAACTAACATCTGACCCTTCAAGAGGTAAATGGACAAACTGGCAATTTTATAAAGAACAGATTTCTTTTTACAAACTTTACAATGAAATTCAAATGTATGCAGGAAGGCTTTTACCAGGAAGGCTTTGATCCAATATTACTGCATGGTTTCCTTGGCTGGGGAACTCCGTATCTATGTATCTATACATAGATACTTTGGCATTGTGGAATGGATGGTTGCAAGACTGGTTTGGTTTTCAGACTTTAGCATGGATTGTTTGTATGACAACTAAGCATATCTGAATATAAGCTTTTAGCCAAACTCCTGCCTCTGGCGTGATATTAACTGCTATTGGAACAGGCTGGAAAGAGACTAATTAGAGCCCTTGTGAAGAGTTTGTTATTGTCTCTCAAACAGATGTTTGTGTTCATACAATTAGGAAAATTCTATTTTGATTCATGGAGCAAAAACTCTTAGTAGTGATTATTCATGACCCTGTGCAGAAGTGTGAATTTGGGGGTGTGGTATTCATGAAGCTGATACTTAACCAGTTGTTCTTATTGTGGTTCTTACTCTGGTTTAATGCCTACATAGATGTAATATTGCACTCTTTAAATTAAATTCTCTTTCCTTGTACCTCAGGATTTCCAAATGAACCATAAAATCTTTATACTAGTGTCTCATTCTTGAGCATTCATTGATAAACAAACAAATTGATATATTGGACATACAGGCCATGATAGGGAGTTCTGCTGTATAGATCTGAGAAACCGGTTGCCACAGATGCAACAAAATTCTTACCTTTGTCTCCATGGCCCAAAAATTAAACCAATCTACTCAAAAAGATTTTAAGATTTTTATGGATTATGGTCTTCTCTTTAAAAACTTGATTTAGAAATTCACTATACTGATTACAGATTATTTTGATATAGATAAGGCTGAATTTAGTGGCTTGATCTATCCATAGACTTAGATCTCTATCCACAGAGATCTATAGAGGCCCTCTGGCCTCTGTTATTTACCAGTTGGAGGGCAATGCATGTTGTGACACTTCTACTGTAATTTACCAGTCATTAAGGAGTTGAAAATATGAGCAGTGAAGGGACACTGCTGTTACAAGTGAAAGCCTCGTAAAGGTCACCTGGTCTGGAAAGGAATACGAAACAGGCAATTGTTCCTATGTGTTAGAACTCATAAAAGGACTGTGTCGTGTGGGTTAAGCACAAGTGTGGCCTACGTGAATGTTTCAGGGAGCTTTCATCAGTCAAAAATAAGTATTTAGCTTAAATAATTATATCAAGCCCAGGCAGCTTATGTTTATTGTCTGCCTTCAAATACTAGCCATTACTTAGTAAAATTGGCCCTATGGCGCAGGGAGTTCAGAAAAACTGCCATATTTTAGTCACGGTGGTAAGTACAGTGCACCTAAAAGTACAGAGATTGGCATATTTGGGATGGAAGATGTGGTCTAAACAAGGTTTGTCTGAAGCTAGTTTTTCCTAGAGTAAATCCTTTTTAATTCTTCATAATAATTGCTTCTGGCAAACGTGTTAGGCACTCAGTATAACTTTTCCTAAAAGCACTACTGAAAAATACTTTTCCTTATGTTGTTCCATAATAAATACTTTTTTTTTCTTTCCAAGCTGTTGCCAAGATCCTTGATAGCCTACAGTGGTTTTCCTCAAAAATATTTGCAAGTTCTCTAGACAAATTAGGAAGGGGATTTTTGTTATAACAGTGTTCTAGAAAGCACAGAGATGTGAGTACATCAAATAGCAGCTAACCAAGTTACTACTGCATTCACAGCTGTTGTCTCTGCTAAGTATAGTTACAATGCATCTCAGCTGCTCACTTGTACACTGTGAATTGCTGAAGATCCCACAGTCTGTTGCTAATGCAGTGCTACAAGTATAACTTCAATCATTGAATCACATGGCATATCTCCTAATCTTTATCTTTGTTTGTTTATTTTTTCATATAAATTGGAGATTTTATCCATACAGATGATTAAATAAATACTACATAATCTTTCTAGAGACTTTTTAAATACAAAGTAGAAGTACTATTTGTCTTTTGGCTTGTATTCAATAACGCATCTCAGCTACTTCAGAAACTCTAAAATGGCCCTCTCAGCCCTCCCGAAAACATGACTTGAGCCATCTGCCAGGGCGGAAGCTTAGGCAGGTCCCAGACGCCAAGGTTCCATCGTCAGCTTCCGAAACACAGGAGGAATCTTGGTGTGTGGGCAGCGTGGGGTTGGGGGTGTCTCTTTAATGTGGTTATTGTACAGAATTCTGTCAGAATATGTCCTAAGGTTTCTCTGGTTTAACTGCTAGCTTCTGACATGCTCTTTTCATAAAGACTGAAGTAAGAGTTCAAAGTGTCTTGAGTCTGTTCACCTTGCGGTGGACAAGGACTTTTTTTCTTACCAAGTGAATACATGGCCTCTCTATCTGTAGTGAGAGTTCATCTCCAAAATGTAAGTGATTGGGAAGTGGAATTGCCTTTGTATTCATTCCAGTCTTGTAGAAGGCCTGGCTGATAGTTTGTGCACATTTTAATTTGTAGGTATGATGAACAGGTTGATAGGAAGTTGAAACAAAAACCTCCATTTAGTTGTGGAGGCAGTTAAATTTCACAGTCATTTGGAAGATAAGTAAATTGCGGAGTCCAGGTCTGGTTCCTATAAAAATTCTTTTGTCCCACAGCAACAGCAATTGGTCAGTGGTTTAATTGTGCTGTGCCATGTAGCTCTCATGGTAAGCTATGATCTCAGCCAGATAGGAGCACATTCCTGTAGCTTTTGGAGTTTGTCTTCCGAGTGAATAAACATGCTGGGGATTAAAAAGATAAAGCTGTATAAGCAATACTTAAGTTCTCTTGTAAAACAATAATTAAACGTGGTAGTCTGGGTCTCTTTCAGTAATTCTTCCTCACAGTGAGTGATATTTATTCCATTTTGAATAGCAGAGTGAGGAGACAATATGAGGGTGAGGAAGAGTTACAGACTCCAGACCTGTATTTCATATGCAGCCCCTGGACTGAGCTAAAACTCGAATCTGCAGGTAAAATTACATCTACTGAACCTAAGTGTACAGAGAAACCATAGGGCCAAATTCCATTTTCAGATCCTCTAAGGGGGTGTTTGAAAGCAAGTTTTATAAACTGTACCTCCTCTTGCACTTTGTGCCAAGCTGGAACTCTTACCAAGATCCATCTATTATCTGAGTACTTACCCGTTTGGAGAAAGCTTGTGATGAAGACACACATGTGGGCAAATTATTTTTAAACGCGTGTAGTCTGCTTAAATGGGTAGATGCTGATCATGTTTCATGTCTGCATGCAGTATCAGAGCAAAAGAAATAGCCGGTTTATGCTCAGAAGTTGCTTGGATGGTCTTGGATGTGTCTTGGATGGCCGTGTCAGGCACATGGATCACGTTGCTTTTCTCAGGCTAAGGAACAACAACAAGGCACTTGAGAGCACCACACAAGTGCTCTGAGAGTGCTCAATCCTGCAGATGTTGAAAGTGAAACTGAGGCTGAGCTTAGCCTGTGGTAGCAACATCTGGAGCAGTGACACAAGTGAGCTGCTCACACTAATTTCTGGAAGCTTGCTAACGTGCCCACATTAGGAGGCTCTTCTCCTTGGTCTTTCTACGCTAAGAAATGAAAGATGAGATTCAAACTGTAGTTCAAGGTATCTGAGGTGAGTTTCCATTTCAAACCATGAAGGAACCTTTCTCTTTGTTCAACACATTGCATTACAAAGTACTAACGTACCAAAGTTGCACGTCTAATTTTAGGTATTTAGTTGTCATCTGAGTTTGTCACACAGACATTTATTCAGAGCTCCATGAATTTTAATGTAATCTGAGTGATAGCATTTTGCATTTGATCATCATCATTGTTCTCCCTAGTAATAGAAATGTCACCTTATACAGTTTACAGTTGTAGATGCTAAGTATACTAGCAGTCATAGAAGTAAAGCAATTGTATAATTTTGTTTGTATTAATCTGGTTTTCTACTTTGAGATAGAGCACTCAGAAAATCAAATGCCTGAACTATCAGAACACTAGATAGTTCAGATAGTTTACATCAGATAGTTTATATCAGTTTTATTTTATCAGTATTCTCAGTTGAACTATTTGTG